CCCCTGCAGAGTTTAGCAGCCTTGACCAAACACACCAGTCTTTAATTAACAAGTGCTTCTTATGTTTATTTTAGTTGTGTTTGATCGGAATTGAAGCTGAACTCTGCAGGAATGTAGACCTCCAGGAACAGGGTTGAGAGCACCCCTGCATTAGGCAGTTGTTTCTTATTCCAAGTCATGCAATTCGGATGTGGACACATGCGCAAAGTTACAAAAAAAAAAGAGTGCTCACTGCCAGCCGAAATGAGGTCATGAACACCCAAAGTGAACTTTCTGAGTTACATTCACCGCATCTATCCAATCGTAATTTTAGATGCAGCAAGTATAAATCAGCATTTAGAGAGGGTGTTTCAGTACTGCAACACACCGTTCCAAACCAGCAAGATCTACAGAAGGCTGCAAACTCCCCTCCAAGAGCCTCCGGTCAGGGTGAGAGCACTGACTTGTGGTGCCATTGCAGAGAGTCTATAAGCCATTTTCCAAAACCTTTTCATTCAATGTTCTTCGCTGGTGGATTGATCTTCCCATTCCCACTCGGACTGTGGACACACTGGTAATCTTCAAATGACATCTAAAAACTGATCTCTTCCAAGAACACTGAACCCCTGTGAATATTACAAAAACCACTTATAAGAAGCACTTTCCCTCCGTTTCGCTCTCTCTCTCTCTCTCTCAAAGTAATGTCTGTCTCTCTGTGTGTGTGTGTGTGTGTGTGTGTGTGTGTGTGTGTGTGTGTGTGTGTGTGTGTGTGTGTGTGTGTGTGTGTGTGTGTGTGTGTGTGTGTGTGTGTGTGTGTGCGTGCGTGCGTGCGTGCGTGCGTGCGTGCGTTCGTGCGTGCGTGTGTGTGTGTGCGTGCACGCTTGTGTGTGTGTGTTGTTTTTTAACACTCTAGCACTAAATTCTGTGAGCACAAACAAGTTACTTTGAACAACTAGCGCTTCTTGCTTATGTATTGCCTTTTGTTGTTGAATCCTGGAATACCTCCTCAGTTGTAAATCGCTTTTGACAAAAGCATTTGCTGAATGTAAAATGTAATGTAGGGTAAATGTAAGGCTGACATTGAGGCAACAAAAAACCAAAAAAACAAAGAATGTGTCAAAGATTAACGTTTGTTTCCAATAAAACAACATTTGATTTAGGTTGCAGAGATTTGAATACATATACTGTATGTACTTGCTAAACAACAATTATAGTTTATAAAATAAATGCTGATGTCTACGGATACGACAATGAAAATCATTTTATGTATAATGGGATGATGTTATTCATGGTCCTTGCACACTGTTTAGGAAACTAGAATATTTACTTAATTTTAAACAGCGACACACTTTTATGTATTTTGGATGAGTTTACTTGGTTTAAATCCAGCAGCTTTAATCTCTCTTCTGCAGGGCAGACTAACATGGCAGAACCCATCAGCCATCATGGATCAAATAGTATGATCATTATTAAGATGTTTAAACAATGAAATATGTATTCTTACACATATTTGACTATAGAATCATTTGGAGCAAAGCATATTGGTCAGAAGGATTCCACAAAACATTTGCACGCACAGCAAGACTATTATATTAGTAATATTTTTTATTATCTTTTTTATTTTATTATTATATTTGCCCTATCCCACACACTAACCAATCAAATTTCCATTGGCTGCTTTTGTGCCACCCCTTCCCTCCCACCAAAAAAAGAAATTGTTGCTTGTTCAGACTACTTAAAATTAGCTTAATCAACACAATTCTTGGGTTTCTTTTGGGACTTATAATACTTTAATATTTGAATAATTAGGACTTATATATTATAATAATAATATTTTATAATATTTTATGTTCAATCCACATAAATTTGTTAAAACAACTAATTTAACCTAATAAATTTATGCTAGGACAACATGAATGAATTGTGTGGAACCCTGCAATTTTTACAGTGTACCAACATGGATAATAGTGAAGCACTATTTTCTTTTCATGTTTATTCAGAATTAAATAGAATACACTCTGGGGTAGGTAACATTCTTAGGTAAGAACTATGTAGTATGTTCATCAATGCTACATCTAAAATCTGTGAGGTTAAACATTATTATAGTTTAAAAACACTTTATGTTAATGTATTACTTTGGTGAACCATAATGTAATGTTTATAATGGAGAGTTTCATTCTTCCCAAACAAATGAAAATGTAGATGTGATGCTTCCCTAATGCTTCCTTAGATTTGCGCCACAATAATGTATTTTAGAAGGAGAATAATCAGCCTATTTTTTTTTCTTGTTTTTTTGTTCACCCTTCATATCATTAGCAAGTCTGTGTTCCCTTAAAATGCTGTTTAGGTTGGCAGCTTGCTAATTTTTTTGGAACAGGGTTTATGTCAGAAATGTCATAGCGACGCATTCTATTAGCAGCTGTGATACTCAGCATCTGTTCCCCTTTCGTCCCATGTCTTCCTCCTGTCGTACATTCTCACTGGAAATTACTGCCTTGTATCTCCAGCATCCAAAGCACTCACACCCCCGAAAATAGTTGATTGACTGCCGTCTCTTAATTCTGAACAGCTGACTATTTCTGGAAGGTTTGCATTAATGAGTTTACACAAGTGAGACATCCTCTCTAATCTATACACACTGAAATAATGAGCTTAGCCTGTCGTAAGATGAAACATTCATCTCATTAGAGTGTACTGTTCAAATTTATAGGAGGTCCTTTGACTTTCTGGCCAGCGGAGTCGATGAAGGTGAGAGGTGTGTTGTGGTAAATGAGAAAGACGAAACATGAGATGGAAGAACAGTTGTTCTCGGGTAAACCTGGGGAAATCACAATTCTACTGTGTGTTTTTCCATAAAACATGATTTGCTCACCTTCATATCATTCAATATTCATATGATTTTTTTTTTGGTAGGATGTTCTATGAAGCCTATCCTCATCATGAATTACAATTCTGTTTAGTTATTCTAAGACCTCTATAAATAACATGACAAGATCTATACTGTTTTTTTATGTAGTTGACAGTTATAGCTACAATTAAAAGTGTGTTATTAATATTAGTGATGCATGTAATTTTTCTAAAACATTTTACACAGATTAATATGTATGAATTAATCAGTCCTGATTGTGTTTATAAAAAAGCAGTCTACAATGTAAAAAGAGTTTTTTTTGTTTTGTGAAATAAGTGAATGGTTTATATTGTTCATAAAAGTTTTCTGTTGCCTTATACATATTTATCGTGAGTCATAATACAGTTACTAAACTGTATAAACACATCATTGATTGCTTTAAGTCAGGTGTTCCCAAACTTTTTCTTATGAAGGGCCAAAAACTGAACTTGATTGAGGGCTGTGGGCCGAAGGTAAATAAAACATTAAAGTTCCCATGGGTAATTTCCTAATTTATTTACCTAATATTAAAAAAAACTTGAAAACATGGCTTTATATTAATTATTTAGTATATTTTAAAAAAAAATATATATATATATATATATATATTGGAGTTTAATGGCAAAAAGCAACACGTAACGCTTTTGCATTGATTTGCTCACAATGTTATGTGTATTTGTCCTGTATTTGTCAAGAGACAGTATTTACATTAAAAATCAGATTTATTTAGTCATTCGGATGAGATGTTAAACCGAGGTCCTGACTCTCTGTGGTCATTAAAAATCCCTTGGCACTTCTCGCAAAAAGTAGGGGTGTAACTCCAGTGTCCCAAATTCCCTCCATCATCCCTTAAGATCATGGCCTCCCAATAACTCCCATCCACCGAATTCCACTGGTGCCGTTTTCCTGTGGCTGCCATAGCATCAACTAAGTGGATGCAGTGCACTGGTGGTGGTGTGGAGAGACCCTCTCTCATTATAGCGAAGCGCTTTGGATGTATGGCCATACACAATAAATACGCTATATAAATACACATTACTTACTTACTTACTTACAGCATTTTATTGAAACGCTTAATTTCAGTTTGCTATTAAACTATAAAAGACAAAAAGATCACGTTTAATTCATAATGACAGTCTTTGTTAAATGGATTCTCCCAAATGCTCCCCATCATTCTCTTTTCAGATGAGATGGTGGGCCAAATCAAAGCTTACCATGGGCTAGCTTTGGGCCTTCGACATCTCTGCTCTAAGTAGTGAAAATAAAATGTAGTTTTCCAAATGCAAATGTTATCTAATCATGCATCATAATTATTCGTTTTTTTACATATTTTAACGTGTGGTTTTATGAAAAGTACATTACCTTATGTTTAAATTGACACAGAAATGTAAAATTGACATATTTTAAGAGTGATATTATATTATTATAATAGTAATATTACAAATGAGACATGTTTTCAACATCAAATTGTTTAATATTGATGTTAAGTAGACATACATTAAGACATTTACGTAATATTACAAGTAGATGTTTACAAAATCCTTATGAATGTCCATATGAATCATGATCGGTGTTATGAACTTGAAAAATTTAAATGCAACACCAATGCAATTATTGAAATGCAAGTCAATATGTATTAACAGCACTTACAAATGTAGTTGTAACTATTATTGACATACAGTAGGTTTTATCGGTATAGGTTGTGTCTTTTTGGTAGATACATTTCTTGAATTGTTATGCTTGATTATTAATAAATTAGGTCATACTTTGTTTTGATGGTCCGTTTGCTGAATTTAAGTTACATTGCATCTCCATGCCAGCTAATTCTCATTAGATTATAAGTAGACTGTTAGGTTGGGGTTATGGTTACTGTAAGTTGACATGTACTTGCAAAGTTTTTTATAGTCAGTTAAATATCTGTTTAGCAACAAAATCAACATATATTAAGCAGACAGGTTACTAATACTCAAATGGGCCATAAAAATAAAGTGTTACCATAAATTAAAACAGAGTTGCAATTAATTATGAACATGGGCTTCTTAGAAAGTATTACAAATTTTCTTTCTTCCAAAGACCGCAAAAGGAGAATCATCCAACAGTTCAGAGACAAATAGTTCACCTTAAATTGAAAATGGTATAATTAACTAATCCTCATGTTGTTCCAAACTTGGAAAATTATCATCTGTAGAGAACAAAAGATGAAATTTGGGCCCCTAGTGTTGGTTAAACAAATACACAGCAGTCAAAGACATGCGGTAATTCATGGTTGGAACTAGATGAGGGTTAATTTTTGAGTGGACGACCTTTTTACCATAATTGTGATCTAATGCAGATCTCGTCCAGCTACAGTACACCACTCACCCCAGCTCAGTGTTTGTGCTGTTTAGAGGGGGGGTAGGGGGGAAAGAACATCACTTCCTTCCAACCTGACACAGATTTTTTCACTCCTCTGCACCTTCCCAATCGCCCCTCTCTCTCTTTCTTTCTTTGGACGCCCATACTGGCCCCTGCATCCCCTGCCACAGTTGAGCAGATTGTGTCTGTATTCCACGCTTCTTCCAAACAAAAGGCATGGGACCATTTCTCCAAAGCCCAGCGCAAGAACCTGGACATGTGGCGAAAGCAAGCAGAGGTTGGTGTTTTCATTTCTTTAAGTGAATGTGGTCATGCTTCACATCTTTTGAAATTAATTATGTAGAATGTTTCTGTTAGAGATTAGTCTTTTCCATTTCCTCTGCCCATTTCCCTTTCCCTGCAAGCTTCCCATGTGTACTTGAAGTATTTTGAAGTCCTCTTTATTTTTAGAAAATGTTTATGGTATGATAGTCTAAATGCTCAGCTTTCTCTACTAGTAAAATCTGTTCCGAGTCTGCCTGAGATTTCAGCGGTTCACAACTGGCAGGTAACAGTTTGTTTTGTTTGTTTTTTTTTTTATCCCTGGTAGAAACAATAGAAATATGAATTTCTCCACAATCTCATTGGTGCTGCAAAAACTAATATAAAAGGAATAAAAGGAACATAATTATTTAAACAAAAAGCTTAAAATGGTCATTATAAGCCATTATAAGCCAATTCATTAAAACAATCCACAATTTTTCTTGTTTATAATGGCCCAATCTGGTGTATAATTAGCGGCTTAATTTCTATTGGTAGCAACATAAAAACACTATTTAACATGGAACAGAAGGTTGATTTTGTTTATACTTGATATGACTGAAAGCTTTCCTCAGCAAGTGGTGTGAGCAGGACAGGATTGTACATGTGTATTTAAAGCAATTTGGAAGTAATACAAAAATAATAATTATAAATTCTAAATTAAATTATCGCTAACATTACTCTATTTTAACGATCTTGGCGCAAAGTTCAAAGCATTAAGAGCGTGTCCGAATCCACGTTTGCTATTTAAAGGATGGAAAAACCTGCTTTGTGCCATGGCACATGGTCTAACAGGGTTGAGCTTATTCTTTTAATGACTTATAGGTGTGTTTTGATAATAAACCAATCAGAGTCTCATCTCCCATTCCCTTTAAGAGTCAGTTGCGTCACACCAAAGAGCATTTGAGTCTATTAAGCAGTCTATTTCAGATCCTCAAAATAGCAACCCGCCAGTAATGCACCTTAACACACCTCAATTTTTAGACCAGAACGCCTATGGGCGCTCAAATGAGTGCAAATACATTTAATATTTAAACAGCATGGTGCAACACGTCAAAATTACACTTGCATCAAGCTGAGACTATCAAACAACATTTGTGTCATACCTTGCGCCAGGTGTATGATAGGGCCCTTCATTTTGATGGTCTGTTTGAGTATTAGTAGACTGTCTGCTGGGTAGTAGTGGGTAGTCTTGAACTTCAGTGTGTGTTTGAGCAAGCAAGGTAAAAATCACGCAAGAAAAAAAAATATGTGTGTCTCCGAATTCTGCTATAGAAAAGTGAAGCTAAGATGTTGCATGTACGGTTGAAGTCAGAATTATTAGCCCCCTTTTTATTTATATATTTTTGTTTTTTTATATTTCTTGAATGATGTTTAACAAAGCAAGGAAATTTTCACAGTATGTCTGATAATATTTTTTTCTTCTGGAGAAAGTCTTATTTGTTGTATTTTGGCTAGAATAAAAGCAGTTTTAAATTTTTTTAAATCCATTTTAAGGTCAAAAATGTTTGCCCCTTTAGGCTACATTTGTTTCAATAGTCAACAGAACAAACCATCGGCATACAATAACTTACCTAATTACCCTAAACTGCCTAGTTCTAATTATTGTAGTTAAGCCTTCAATGTGGTCATGTCATTGGCCCATGAACTTTTCCTGCTTATCAAACTATTTCATAACTGCAACAAAAGACATTTCAATCATAACTCAATTATAAAACAGTTGTCATACATTATGTATTATGTTGCTCATTTTGGATTCTCGGAAGCTATAGGAGTGAAAAATGTAAAACAGGAAATGCTTTGGGACCACTGTTTGGGTTTACATCCCTCAAAATGGTCTATATAAGTGCACCCCTTACAAATCTCTCTTTTAAAATCATATTTTAATAGAAAGCTATGCAATATTATATTTGTGCATATATGTTAGATTGGTCAGTACTGAAGCCAAATCTGGAGCTTATCTAACAAAATAACTTGCGATAACGGTCCAAAAACTAGTACACCCAAATGTATATGTTATAGAAAAATATTAAATACAAATTTACAAAAAGAGGAAAAATCAAGAGAAGCAAAAAAATAGAAAAATTTTGTTAAAATTTTTTAGTTTGTAATTTGTTTTTGGAATATTTTACTTGAATTTGATTGTATTATTTTTCAATTTCTAAATATGTTTGGTGACTAAAATATTGTTTTAATAAATATATCTGTTTAATAAATCTGTTTTGTTTAAATGCACCAAAATACATTGCCTATATTCACTTAGAAATGGATGCAAATATTCATTTTCAAAATGAGGTGTACTCAATTATGCTGAGCACTGTAGACATGGCAGAATTTATGATCAACTCAGCAGCCAGCTATCAGGCTTCAATCATTGTGTTTTGGCTTTACTAATTGGTTGTAAACTCCCATTTAGATTTGGTTTTATTCCTGATTGTGTTGACCACTTTTCCAAATCCAATTGTTCTCTAAATCCAAGCCCTATTCTAGTTACGTTTTCACAATGTAAAGTTTTCAAGTTCCCTTGAAGTCATTGGAACAGCTTAAAGATGCAGGTACTGTAAATACAGAAAGAGGCCCCTCACATTTTAAGGTAGGTGTTCAAAATATTAGTTACACTGTACTTATGTCCCAAAATCCTTAATAATTTGATTTAGTATGAATTGGTTAATTTCTAATATGCATATTTTTGTTCCGCATGATCAGAGTCATCAGAAAGGGACGTTTCAATCAGAGATACTCCATCTATTTCCAGCCCATTTTGAAGCATATCAAGACAATTTGCAGTTTCTGCCCGTTAAGGCTTTGTTAACTTCATGAACTAAGCGAGTGCTTGATTGACTGCCTTATTCTGAAATAATAATTGACATTTTATTCGATTTGTCTCCAAATGAAAGAGTTACATTTAGAGTTCTCTTAGCACTTACCCTGTTCTTCATCTGTGAAAGGAGCTTATTAATGCTGCGGTAATTGCGTCCTTATTGAGTTCCTCTCATTTCGCCCCTTTCATTTCCCCCTTCAAATGACAAGAAAGGGTGGGCAACAACCCTAATAAGCCTTGATCATTTTTTAGAAGCTGATGTCTGACCTCAAGTTTTCATGCGACTGAAGTTGAATATGGTTAGTCTCAGATATGAGCCTCTCCTCACTCGTGAGCTGGCATTGGGCTTGAAACTTCACCGTGGCTGTGACAGGAAGCTCTTGATGCTGTCACAGCGGGGTGAAGCCTCATTTGAGAAGAGAGAGCCAGTTTAGCAGTCCTTTCTTACCTTTTACATTATGTATTGAGAAAAAGCTATCTCAAAACTGTTGAAATCGTTCTAGTATGACAATGCAGGGCTTCATGGATATGCCACGCTTTCACAAGCCTTTCTCATTTTTGAAATGTTTATGTTCTAAGGGAGCCCATTAGTGCCATTTTAACACTCTTCGCTGTAGAAGTAGTGAATGTGGTTAGTTATATCTGGAGCAGGTGACAGTAAGTGATGGGTAACAGATGACACACCATTAAGCTATGTTTACTCTGCTTCTCTCACCCTTGGAGCTGTTTGGACCTTCTCTTGTAAATTTGACGGTAAGATGGTGATTTCGAACGAGTTGTTGACCCAGAGCTACGCTCAGGCTTAGTGGAATTTAGAGGATTTTCATTCTCATTTCCTTGAGCTTCCCTCCAAGTTTACCCAGCCATTTCTCGCGTAAACAAAGCATCGGTAAGTGTTATTTTTGACACCGAAATGTCCAGTCAATGCAGCGGGTTCTCCTCGCTTCAGGCTGATTGTTATTCCGAGCAGTTAGCTATTTGCAGTTGCCTAGACGACCTGAATTCAATCACAGCCCATTTATGCTGCAGGCAGCAAGACTTCCTGTGTTAAAGATTGGAGGAAAGTGTAAAGCGGGAAAGCTAGTTGACTTCCTGCAGTAACCCCATATCATCTATCCCTCTACTGATTGGGCAGATGGGCCTGTTTGCTTTTGCGCTACCTGCTCGACCTCTGTAATTCTCATAGAGATTGTGTGTTGCTGCGCTAGACAGATGGTAATGTTTATGCCAGGCCTTTTGTTTGTTGTCAGGGAGTAAGTCTCTCTCCCTGTGGCGGTCATGTTGTGTCTTTGCACAGCCCTATCCCTTTGCTGTGCGCATGCCTCATTAACCAGAGAGCTCCCCCATCAGGTGTGCCAACACGGCACTGCCCATGCCCAGACATCTGCTTAAGTTGCCCCTGCCCGACCCTGCCGCTTTGTGGTGGCTGGGCAATCACTTCCAGCCCCACTGGCTGCCATTAGAAGTCCCTGTGCAATGTTTAAATGCGTCTATAGTCAATGTCAGCCAACATTAGGTGCATCGATACTCTAACACCTGCTTTTATAGCACTTTATGAATATGATCTCTTTTTTTACAACATAATCGAATGGCTTATTACATTTCCAGCTCATGTATTTCATGTGCTAAAAAGTGTGAGAGATCAACCTGCAGTGCTTGGGATTAAAGACTCTTTTCCTCTCATTCACAGGAGATCAGAAACATCCACAACGAAGAGCTGATGGGAATTCGGAGGGAGGAGGAAATGGAGATGTCGGATGATGACATGGAGGATGTTCCAGAAAGCAAGGATTTGGATGACTCAGGTATGCATCCTTCAAGATTGACAGCCAGTAAGCAGAAGCTGGGAATTCTTGTCAAGGCAGTGCAAGTGGTGCTCACTTATTGTTTTAAAAATGGTTTCGGAAAACCCACAGCATACAGATTTCTACCCGCTGGTGATTTGTCAGTTTTACGAGGAACCTTTTTTCAGATCACACAGTGCTGACACATTTCCAGATAGAAGCAATAACCAGCTAATTTTCATAGTATAAATGAGCAGAGAAAAAAAAAAAAAAGGAATCCAACCTCATGGAAAGCTCTGACTGTTTAATGACCCTTGACATATATCTGGATTCAGACCGTGTAACTGGCACTTTTCTCCAAATATTCTCCCAGAAAGTAATGAAGCTCGTATAATTTTTCTTCCCTTTGAGATTTTGACGTGTTTTTTTAATCTTTTTGTGTCAGAAAATAACTTAGGCATAAATATCAATTACTCTATGCCAGTGTATCTAAATTATATTGCTGTAGATTCACTGCTCTGTACATTTAGTATGTTTCTTAATATGATTTCATTCATGTGCCAAAGCCTATGGAAGGCTTATAACCTTTATTCAAAAAAATCTAAATGTTTAAACAGAGATGCTCAAATTGAAATTTAATTTTTCAATTAAATGTAAAGGAATCAGACTTTAAATATTATCACTCGACGGATATGCAGGAGGCATCGGTAAACAAATCAAGGTTAAAAACTAGTGTAGCTCAATTCTGTTATATATTAGATTTTGGTTTGTTTTTACTGTAATAAGATCATTATAAAATGTACGTCAATAAATACATAAAAATATATTTAAGTTATTTTTAAGATTATTAAATAAATTAGGGGCGAGGCAGTGGCGCAGTAGGTAGGGCTGTCACCTCACAGCAAGAAGGTTGCTGGTTCGAACCTCGGCTCAGTTGGCATTTCTGTGTGGAGTTTGCATGTTCTCCCTGCCTTCGCGTGGGTTTCCTCTGGGTGCTCCGGTTTCCCCCACAGTTCAAAGACATGCACACCAGGTGAATTGGGTAGGCTAAATTGTCCGTAGTGTATGAGTGTGTGTGTGAATGTGTGTGTGGATGTTTCATAGAGATGGGATAAGGCTGGAAAGGCATCTGCTGCATAAAGAACTTGCTGGATAAGCTGGCGATTCATTCTGCTGTGGCAACCCCGGATTAATAAAGGGACTAAGCCGACCAGAAAATGAATGAATGTATGAATAAATAAATTAGGAAAAATTACACAAGGCAACCAAATTTAGCTTCGACCCACTAGACTTAAGAAAGTTTGGCTTTTGGCCCTTCATAATAAAAAGTTTGGGCGCCCCTGATTTACACCTACTGCTCCAGCTTTGTCAAAGTGTTCAGTTAAAGGGTTAGTTTACCAAGAAATAAAAACATCTTAAAAGACGTTCTTAATTACAATTTAATTGTCTTTGAAATACAAATAAAGATATTTTTGGTGAAATCTGGGAGCTCCATCATCCTTCATAGACATCAATAGTCCCTGCTCATTCAAAGTCCAGAAAGGTACCAAAAACATCAAAAATAACTATTTGCCTACAGTGATTAAATCAGAATACTATTAAGCTGCAAGAATACTTTTGTGCACACATAAATCAATATAAACTATATTTAAAATTTCTAAATTTTTTATTCAACAGTTCCCCCTTCAGTGTCAGTATATCGCCCGTGTTCATGAGCACGGTGCATTGAAGTATACAGATGCCCAAGTGCACTTTATCTGCTTGAAACAAAGCACAGGCGCATGCAAGGAAGTATGTCAGATGTGCAACCAATCACAACACATGATGGTGGGCCCTATACTCGGGCTGCACAATAATGAACATACTGGCATTGCAATACTTTTTTTCATTGTTCAAAAAAATCATAGTTTTAGACATACTGTGATAATTTTGCATGGAGTGCATCTGCTTAAAATACAATAAATCAATCACAAGTGTTGATAAGTAATTGATTAGTCAATTAATAAACTCTTTCCTGTTTCTGGGAGTCTAGCAAAATTCAGGTGCACAAATTGAATGATCAAATGTCAAGTAAGACACAATTACAAATAATATTTTTTATAGTTACAAACAGTAAAATTTCTTGTGCCTGAATGATTTACAGTACCTGGCTTGAATTGTTCACACAGTCACAAGCAAATGACACACATTTCAGTAACGTTACAATTTCAACAGTGTTTATAGTCTTGATTTGACATTGAAAATCCTGCAATGCAACTGTTGCAGATGCAAACATTGCAATATCAATGCTGAAACAATATGTTGTGCTGCCTGACCCTATACCATACCTGTCAACCCTCCCATTTTTGCTGGGATTGTCCTGTATTTTATCATTCTATCTAGCTATCATCACATTTAAGTATTTTCCCGTATTTCTCCCATATTTTTTATCTTTCTATGAAAAGTGAAAGTAGCATCAAAATGCATCAACTGTTGCCCTTTTTATGCAATCACTGAATCAGTCAATTCATGTATCAGTGCTGAATGACAGACGCGCTGCGGCGTGATAAAAACACTGTTCCCAGATCCGCTTCTGTACTCGCGATTTGAAAAGGAGCGAAAGTGGACACTTTGGGATTTGGGTCTGTTTTTAAATAGACAAATAAAAATGTAACAAGTTTTTAAATTCTTGCATAATTAATTAATGTATAGGCCATAAATTTTAATAGTTTAATTTTTATTTTATTTTAATGTACCTTTTTCTTATTAAAGCATATCTTGTATATTTACATCTCAGTGTTGACAGGTATGCCCTATACTGAAACTGTTGCTATTTTTATTTAATGTGCCGACAAAAGTATCTCATAGCTTTATAAAATACTAATTTAACCACAGGAACACATGAAAGCATATGGTGTGTTTTGAGGATGTTTATTTGAATGTCTCTTTGACTGAATTGGGACTGTTGCTGTATATGAAGGATGCGGGAACTCTCAGATCTTAATTTGTGTTCCAAAAACAAACAGAGCTCTCAAGGGCATGGAATAACATAATTAAAATTTTGGGGTCAACTAACCTTTAAAGAAGACATCATGTTTTTAAGGATGTCAATGAGGGAGAAAGCAGTGACTGAGTGTCATGCAACAAAGTCACTGAACAACAAATTAATGTTATTATGATCCCACTCATGATCCCAGTTTGCTGTTAAGCTTTCTCCAATGGTAGAGACATGAACTCTTTCATTTCCCAAATTCAGAACATAGCTGCATGTCAAAGCTTCAGAGATTACCTTCGATGGATATATTAAAGCCTAAACCTAGGGTGCACAAACCAAGTCCTGGAAGGCCGGTGTCCTGTATAGTTTAGCTCCAACTTCATTCAACACACCTGCCTGGCAGATTCTATTAGATCTAGAAAGAGCTTGATTAACTGCTTCAGGTGTGTCTAATTGGAGTTGGAACTAAAATATACAGGACAGCGGCCCTCCAGGATCAGTTTTGGAAACCTCTAGCCTAGACGATTCATAGATTCAACCTCGTTCCAAGCACATGGCTCAGTGTGTTGGATCATTTATTACAACCACTAGGCCACAGTTCCAACCCCAGCATTTTATTTTGAAGAATTCCCTTTCTCATGTGAGCAAATTAAATCAAATCTATCTGTCGGCAGCCGATTCAGTCATGGAGGAAAAGTGTAATTTTTGTATTAGTACTTCTATAACCCCCTGCGGTTTCCTAAATGTGGCAGTACTGATCTGTGCGTGAGTCTGCCAGCTGCTCTTCCAGCTCATTTCAGGTCTTGCTTGCTGCAAAAACCTGCTATAAGAAAAGCTCTAGCATAACAGCTCGGGGCAGAGAATCATAGGAGAGCATGAAATGATCACTATGGGATATCAGTGTCTTTTTTTGGCATCTTGAGACCACTTAGTTCACACACAATCCCTTACGATTTCTCTCTTTACAATACATTTGACACAAGCCCTCTTCCTTATATACAGTATGTGGCACTCAACTCATACAATTAGAATATTAATATCAGATTCTGTAGTGTAGCAGAGGCATTCATTAGTATGCAGATGTATGCAAATATAATCATACATTTACCAGGTTTGAATCACACGTCTTCTCATCTGCGACCTTAGTTATTAGAAAACAATGATAACAATCACTGTCAGTGGGTTGTCAGATATTTGAAAGGATGTCACCAGATAGGAAAGGCCAGGAGATTCACACGGTTAATGAAGGAGATAATTCAACACCCTCCTCGTTTATGAAAACAAATATTTCATACCTGCCAATAAAACGAGCAACCTGCATAAAGAGGAGGCGTGTCTTCTGATAACCCCTGTGCATTTTGTAACTGAATCAGAAACGCCTCCATCGTCACTGCAGCCCAACATGTTTGCTTTTATTTTCCCCCGGAGTTAATCAATGGTAACGGCCAAGTGTCCTCTGACAATAACTACAGTGCAGTGTGCAAATGGGAGCTGCTTTCTTTACTGTCAGCACCCCTGGGCAGCACAGGTCGATAGAGCTGCCTGCCATGTTGCAGAAGGTGAACCGGACGCTTTCTGGGGGCAGCGGCTTGATGAGACGGATCAATAAAAACGGCTTGCTTTCCTCCCTCTCTGTCCATGTCTCCATATCTCTTGTTCTCTCCCTTTCTGTTTCTTTCCCCTCTAAATCACACCAAACATGCTTGCAGACAAAGCACTGAATTGATAACATGGGAGATACGTTCATAAAGGATGCGTGTTTGTTTCCCGTGTGAATTGCCATTTTATTGTGCTTAGTCTAGCGCAGTGGTTCTCAAACATTTTTCATCAAGTACCACCTCGGAAAAAAATTGTCTTTGCAAGTCCCACTATAATGAGCAGTTTTGAAATACAGTAGCGTATTAGGTCTAGTAAAAACAGCTTAAGCTCTGTACAGTTTAAAAAAGAAATAACTCCTGGTTTGTTAGCACCTGGAAATGTTGCCTAGACCTCATAAATATAGGCTTTATGTCATCATATTCGTATATAAATCATTTTTGATAATTTCTTTAAATATATGTAGCATGTACATATTACATATTTGATTCATCCGCGTACCACTAGAAGGAAGCCTGCGTACCACTAGTGGTACACGTACCACAGTTTGAGAACCACTGGTCTAGCGCAACCGAACGGTCATTCTGCAAACTTCAGGGCCATCAAGATGTTGTTCATGCAGCAAAATGTGTACATGCAAACCAACATAGACCAAATGCAAGAATGTGAGTGACTCCAAAATCTCCATCCTAACCGCAGTGTTATTAGTATTAAGTTGTAAACTGTGGAATTCCATGCGCAAATAAGAACAGATTTCTTGTATCAGTCGTGGACAGTATTTGGAAAAGTTACTTTTGAAAGTAATGCATTACAATATTAAGTTACTCCCCCAAAATGCATTACTTAGTTACTTTTATGAAAAGTAATGTGTTATGTTGAGTTACTTTTCTCTTTCAGATTTGATCTTTATCAGAACTTGCAGGTGTTTTTCACCACTTTTTATAAAGAAAGCTCTGCATTTAACAACCACCTAAATAACCTACACCTTAATTTTCCTTTAAAAATTTTAGGATGATATTATATTTTAAGAACTTTCTGAGCCCTGAGCTATACATGCTGTATACTCTTGTTGCTACTCTTGTACGTTTTGTGTTATTAGTTAAGTAAATACACTGTCTATTAAGATAAAATCCAACACAGCCTAAGAGTAGGCTACAAACATAAAATAATTTATAATAAGGCAAAAACAAATTTTAAACCTTTAAAATGTTTAATAACTAAATGAACAGTAAGATGATAAAAACGTGCCGAAATCAAACTCAATCTTTTAACTTTATACATTGAATAAATTGCTTCACGTGGCCTTAACAAATGTGTAAATCATTTTCCAAAAGAGAAAAAATCGTACTATATTACAAAACATTAGTCTCTTTTACAGTAGACAGTGGCTTCTCAACAATAAAAGCAATAACCTTTTTTTTTCAGTTTAGTCAAATTAATTGTTTTTCCTGGAGAACATGAACTGATGTCAGTCATTTGTTGTTACGCTGCAGGTATTTGATGTTGTGTTTCTTGCAGTTGTCAAGAGTTTAACTTGCACATAATCTATACTTAACGACAATCCACTTCTTTGCTTGGATAAGTCCAAAATAACAAAAACCCATTGCAAAAATGTAAGTCTCCAGCCTGCCATTGTTTCTGTTTTACTGTGTGGAGTGATGACAGGCGATTCGCGAATGAATCATTTGTTTTAACCAAATTGAACAAAGTCGGCGTGAAATGGGTGCGTCTTCAGTAGGCTAAGTACTTTATTACTTACTTTTTAACTTGCCGAATATCCCTCTCTGACTCTAAATAAACCAATCTGCTGAGTTATTCAATTACTAGAATAGTACACTAACTCATCTGCTGTAAAAAAAGAGACCTAATGATGATGAGTGCGAACTAACTGTCTGTTCCCTCGCAGCACGCTCTCTCATTGAGTGTATAATTCAACCTGGCTAAGGTCATTTTTATTTCGCAATATATTTTTTAAAAAGCTGATTAAGCAAGATAAAAAGTAACTTGCATTACATTTTTCTAAAAGAAAATCAAATAATATAACTTTTTTTTAATAGTATGTTACTTTGGAAAAGTAATATTATAACATAACAAACGTTACCCCCAACACTGGTCGTGGAGCACAGCTCACATTAAAGTCATTTTCAAAAAAGTCAAAATGGTTAATGTGTGGGATCATCTTGAAGTCTGTTTAAGAAAAGCACTCAGCCTTAAATTACAATGACCGGATTCTGACACATCGAAATTCACCAAAGTTTTGTAAATATGATAAGAGTTTCCTAATGTCAAAACATAACATTTTAAAAAGTGCACAAATATAGTAAATTACAAACAATTTTGACAATAACAAACTGCTTCCCAGTACTTTTTTTCATTCTGTGACTACTCTGCTACCTGCCTAATATTCTGAATATGTCCCACAAGCTGCAATATTGTCATGTCTTTTGCCTGTTCGCTCATGTGAAGCAGCTTTGACAGTCTACTTTTTTATAAAGCGATAAAGACTTGATTTGATTATTGAATAAATTACACTATTTTTTTGACCAGTAATATCACTTTTCTTTACCATCTTGGATCACTTGTTGCGACAAACTCTGAGATTTTCTTCTTTATAAAGATCTACTAATCTTTAGTGCTTCAATTTGGCCAAAATGAGCTATCTTTAAAGGGGGAATTTTTGTGACACTTTAAAAACATAGAAAATTACATACAATTTTGACTATAATAAACTGCTTTTCAGTACTATTTTTCATTTTGCGACTACTCTGCCACTTGCCTGATATGCTGAATATGTCCCACAAGCTGAAATATTTTTTTGTCTTTTACCTGTTTGATCATGTAAAGCAAATTTAGATATGTAAAGCAGATTTAGAGTCTACTATTTAAAAAGTGCTAAAGGAAAAAAAAAGCCTTGATTTGACTATTGAATCCGCTACGTTTTTGACCAATAATATCATCTTAAACCACTTGTTGCAACACATTTTGAGATTGTCTTATTTATGAAAGATCTAATAATCTTAGTGCTTTAATTTGGCCAAAATGAGCTATCTTTAAAGGGAGAATTTTGTGACAGTATAAAAATATAGTAAATTGCATACAATTTTAACTATAACAAACTACTTCCCAGCACTTTTTTATTATTTGACTACTCTGCCACCTGCCTGATATGCTGAACATATCCCACAAGCTGAAATATTTTCTTGTCTTTTGCCTGTTCGCTCATGTAAAGCAGCTTTGACACTCTACTTTTTTTAAGGGCTATTGAATGAAATTCGCTAGGTTTTTGACGAGTAATATCACTCTTCTTTACCATCTTAGATTACGTATTGCAAAAAATTCTTAGATTGTCTCCTTAATGAAGGATCTACTAATTTTTAGTCCTTCAGTTTGGCCAAAATCAGGCATCTTGTCATGTTTCAGAACACAGAGTTGAGACAGGGGATGTGTTTCCTTGCTGACTTCAGACTCCGTTCATTCAGTAGCTCAACCTGGCTTTCCTTATCTTCCCCGCACGTCACTCAGAAGCTCATCCTCTCGCTCTTCAGAGATGCATAACCAAAGCTCCTTCATCAGCCTGGCGATCGGGCGCCCAGCTGTTCCTCCCTCTCCTTACCCAATCTTTAGGGACACGCTTCTCGGCATAATCCCGTTATCTTCTCCCGCTAGATACAGAGCAGAGGTGACGTCTCTGATCATCGAGCTGTTAAGGAAAAGCTGAATGACAGAACGTCTTGGTGTGAAGAACCCTTTTGCGTCAGTTTTAATTACAGCCATTTGATAACAATGCCCATGGTACATTAAGTCAAGAATTAAGTAATACACTTTCTCTCCATTTAATCCTCTCTAATTAGCCTCTGAAAGCCAAAGGAACGCAGCAGTGGTACTGAGGGTCCTTTCATCTCAGTCCATCAGCCAAATTCTCCAAGCGGCTTTTGAGGAACACTGTTATCCTCTGCCATTCTCCATCTTTCATTTTTACTCTTATGAGGGTGTACCGCCGCCACATCGTGACTTATTACTCTGCACAATACGCCTAATACGCGCCTCTACTTTTTTTGCTCCGTTATTGTTTTTTTACTCGCCCATGTGTCTCTGTCTGCTTATTTCCCTTTTCCTGTCGCCAATGCAATTGTCATTTTTCATATCTCCTCAACCGTCTGCCCTCACAGGGCCGCTGGCTCAGGTGGAGGCTCTGAAAGAGGAGAACGACAGTCTGCGGTGTCAGCTGGATGCCTACAGGAACGAGGTGGAGCTTTTGAAACAGGAGCAGGGTAAAGCGCAGCCCCAGCGCAGCGAGGAGGATGCCACCCGCCAGCAGCAGCTCAGCTTCCTGCAGCAGGCTCTGCAGGGCATGCAGAAGGTATGCAAACAAAAAAAAGTGTTGTTGTCTTGTGTACATTCAAAAATATTTAAACTTGTTCTCTTGTTTTATTATTTTGATATTTCAGTTGACATGAAATGAAAATCCACACTCCTCTTTTGAGAGAATTTTATTCAGTTTTAATATAAATGTTTTGTCCATCCAAAAATCACCTCAAATGTATATTTATTTTTATTTGTTTATTATTATTATTATTATTATTATTATTATTAGTAGTAGTAGTAGTAGTAGTAGTAGTTTTAGTAGCAGTAGCAGTAGTATTAGTAATATTTTATTATCATTATCATTATTATTATTATTATTATTATTATTTAGGTTTGCTATAATTTTCAGAAATATTTATGACTGCCTTACAAATTATGAAAAGACAGAGAGAATAAAGCCTATGGGCTTAAACAAATGTAGCTTCATGCATTGTTTTACTTACATATTTTTCAAAAAACAACAGATTTTATTTTTTATTGAAAAACGAAAGTACTAAACTAAAAAATACTAGAAAGACTACATCAAGATAGGATTCAGAAAGATGATCAAAATTACGGCTGGGTGATAAAATCTGTATTGTTATTTATTGAATGAAAACCATTGTCAATAACGATAAAAAAAGATTTGGTATGTAGTTTTGGTGTGAAGGCTTTAGTTTTATTAAAATGTGGCTGCTGAGCGCTCGCTTTGGATGTAATATCAATAAGCTTAGGGTTTAAGTTTGTCATTTTCAATGGAGATGTGACGCGTGCATTTTCCAGGTACACCTAGTTTAAAAGCATCTGAACTTTTCCAAATATCACAAGTGCACCTGGATTCATGTAAGTAGAACTAACCAATCTGCTTCACACTTCTTGTGGAATATACGCATTTTCCACAACGGTAGACTAATTACCTAAGACAAACACAGCGCACCCAAACACTGCAGTGCCTTTTACTTTCCTCCATAAACTTATAAATACTTACCTCTATAAACCATAAAAGCAATGGTTTGTCCGTTTGTCATCTCCTGAGAAAACAGTTGATAGTCTCCTAGTTACAAGAGACACTATTGAAAATGGTAAAGGAAAGCATGCGCTCGCACTTGTCACTTCAGGTCAGAATAACAACACACGCAAAAATGAGTGGCGTATAGCAGCAGTGAAGAGATTGTAAATAAAAAATCACTTAAGGATGTCGCCCGAGTGGCTATTTGGGTTCTTTTCATGTGCATCCCAGCCACTAGCTCTCCATCTGAAAGATTTTTTTTTAGCGTAGGAGGTAATATAGTCATTCAACTGCACAATTTGTAATGTTACAGTATGTAAATAATGATGGTTAATTCCTTTACTTAAAAGCTCAGTTTTGATTATCATAATTTGTTTTGTTTTTGTTTTGTCAAGTTGAGTTTACTTCAACTTGATTTACTTCATTATTATTATGGACACCTTACAGATGTTGATCTACCTTTACCATTGCACATACTTTGTAACATTTTATTCATCAAATTTTAGAGTCTAACACTTTTTTATTTTATTCTAAAGAGATCAGATATTTTGTTTAGATATTTTTTGTTTTTGACCATTAAAATAGCCTCAGTAATGTTGGTAAAATAAAATAAAGTGTTTTTTAATAAAAAAATTGTAATATTCCAAAATTCATTGTTAAAAGCATATTCAACAATTATCAATATGGAACAAGCCCTAATCAAAACGGCCCTAATCAAAACATAGAGTCCATCAACACCTCCAAGCACTGCTTAGTAAAAGTCCTTTTGTGTGTTCAAATTTTTTATTTTATTTATTTATTTATTTTTTTTGGCATTTTAATTATCAGGTTGTTAAATTTTTAGCTTGCTTTTATTACATATTGCTTGTTTCTGCTTCTTGTGAAGACTTGAGAGATTTCAGAAGATGCATAACAGCGCCCCCTACCATATAATAAATACAAGAATAGGTTGAGAGATAATTCTGCCAAGCATTATGTCAAAATTCTTTTAAAAATTCCATCCGAGGGAAAGAGTTAAACTATCCATTTAGTTTTCACCCTCAGGCCATCCAAGATGTAGGGTGACATTTTGTTCAGTAGAACATTAAAAGAGTTTTTAGCTGATTGTGGTTATAAATGTAGGTGATTCTTATGATGCAAGTCAATGGCTTCTGGCAATTTTAGAGTAAAAAACATATACAGGCAAAACAAAATGAATGCCTGTGGCTCCTGATGAAACAAAGAGGCCTCATGAAGCAAACCGATTGGTCTGTGAAGAAGAAACTGAACATTATTTTCAGCATTATTATCTTTAATCCACAATCTCAGCAAGACATCCTGAGGGCGTTCATGACAATCTGGAGTGCAAGCTTCAAACTTACACGAACTGATGCTGAAAATGACAAATCTCCTGAATAAGAAAATTATTTTTGCAATGTTGAACTTCATGAAGAGCTGCTGGAGGTTTTTGAAAACAAGCTTGTCAGTGATGTGGCACTGTAAAGATCTGTGTCAGTAACCAGAAAGTTGTCATTTTTAAAACCAGCATGTGGTGATCCATGTGCCGTCACTCATCAACTGTGTGTTTACAATCCCACACACCTACTGTTTCCTCACTCTGTGAATACACTGTTGTTATGTGTAAGAGTTTTTATAGCAGTTTAACAGCAGGGAGTCCTGAGCTGAAACACTTGTTTTCTACAGATCATCCAGGTCATCAATCACACACACACTAACAAGGCAATAAACACATGAGGGTTACAGCATATAGAATGGAAATTTAGTTTGCACAAAGTGTGTCCTTTCCCATCCCATCCTTTCATCTCCATTATCAAATGTTATTTCATCTTCTTTTGAGCACCGGGGATATTTTTAGAACAGTCTTATGTTATCATCTTCTTTTCTTCATAGTTATTCACTACTCAGAGTGACCCAGAGTTCTGAGAGTGATTCTAAGTAACATTGTTTTCCTAAACCATAACACAAACTTGGGTTAAATCGTTGAGCCCTCTTTAATGTACCTGTATCTATAAGGAGACCTATTTTCCCAGGAGAATCAGGTTTTATCCTGTATTATTATTTTTTTCAGAACATTCTTCCTTTCTCAACACTAGTAGTCTTTTGTCATGCAAAAAAAGCCTAATCAGTGGTAGCCACTCTTGTCATTGTATATTTTGAATAGCAAAATTACTATTCAATCACATTTCCATATTGATCAAGCTGCAGTTAGCGATGGCGGGACCTATGCCATTTTTGTGTCATTGATAAAGTGCGCAGAGGACGTGAAGTCATACGCAAAAGCAATTTACTACAGTTATATCAAGATACAAATACAGTATTGATCAACATTAGAATATATGTATCGAATCTCAAATAATCGCTAAATCGAAGTGCCTTCAATAAAGCATCTTGGTAACTGGTTTGAATAACCAATATCAAAGACAAATTCTTGAAAACTCTTATATACTTTTCAAATTTACTACACTTTCGTTATGTTTCTGGCTGTTTTCGCCCCATTGACTTCTGTTAAAATGACATCCAGCTGTGGTGGCAGGCCTTTTACAAAGATCTTTTAACTACCTATGGCATTATTTTAATGACAAATGTCAGGAGCACAGAATTATAAGTTGAGATCGCATTTATGCAATACGAGGATGTGAATCTTTTTGCTTGTGAACCGGTTTCCTCTGTTCATACACAAAACTTCTTGCACGCCCTAAAGTATATGCTGCTCAATCACAGGTCACGCGCTCCCAAATAAACACTTGTGATTTACTGCATTTATGTAATGACTATGTCTTTAACATTTAATAATTTTGCTAGTAATATTTGCGTCCTAAAGTAAAGTGAAACAGCTATAAACTCTAGCAAGTCATTGTATCCAGAACCATAAACCTTTATTATAGGTAAAGTATAATTATGGAAACTGTGTTCCTCATAACTGAACTTTGTTTTTGCTGCCCTCACGCATTGCGCAGCCCTGTCAGTCAATCATTCAGTAAGCATGTACGGTTAAAGGGTTAATCAAATAATGCAGCACAACTACAATTACAGAAATGTTTGCTCTGCTATAATTCACATACATTTTATATGTTTTGATGCGATTATAACCCGCTATATAAAAAACAGCAGCAACTTTGAATAAGAAGCTGTAATGTAGACGTGGCAGGGATGAATTTTGGTGGGGCGCCCCACCATGGAAGAATGAATGTTAGTTAGTTAACTTTATTTGTCCCCGTAGAGAAATTTCATTTGCAGCGTACACTCAAAGAGAAATCTGACATTTTACATTTGACACATATATAAATAAATCATATATGGTACCCCTACTCTAAATCAATATGCAGTCTACTAGCCATCAACTGCTACTGAGGGAGGAGGAATTTAAAAACGTATTTACTTAAGTAATTACAACAATCTGATTGTAACAATTGAAAGGTGTTTGATAAAGGATGTCTCTCATCATTGACAATCATAATCACCCAAGAGTAGATAAAAAAACAATCCCCAAAAGCACTTAAGGCTTAATCATTTCCCATAACGTAAATTGTTTATGTATCTTTTCATGTAAAATATCTTACTCTGGACTAGGGCTGTACAATCGATGAAGCAATAATTTTAGCATTGATATCCACACGTCACCAAGATATGCAATGTTGAGTCTGCATTATAGTTGAGCAGGAGCTACAGAATTGTATTCAATCACTGTATTTATACAGAATTGATATGATTTATGCCAAAAAAAAAAATCTTACTTCAAATGTTTGTCTTGTTTCTTGTTCAAATATCTACATTTTAAAGTGAAAATAGCATTATTACACTCACTTTTAGCTTGTTTTAAGGAAAGACTTTTAATTTTGACTCATTTCTTCTGATGGTAAAAACAAAACAAAAAAATGCACTTGCTCTAAGAATTTGTTTGATATTTGGACTGGAAATGATACAAAACAAAGTAAGAAAACCATTCTTTTTCTACTGTGGTTATTAAATTTATTGACCCGAATACTGATAGGCTCCCCAGAAAACCA